CACTGGACAGGCCTCGTGACTGTGTCTCCCCTTCCCTGGCTCCTCTCCTGGTCTACACCACACTTGCTTACCCTCTGGTCAACTCAGCTTCCTCTGGCCATGCTGTGTTGCATATATCACGGGTGACACAGGACTACCAAGAGCAGCAAAAGTCCCTGGAAGGTGGGAAGCTTCTCATCGCAGTGTGAGGTTCCCCAGAGGAATGGGTTCTCTGCAGGCCTGGGTGCCCCCTATACACCCCCTGGGCCTTCCCCCCAGGGGAATCAGGTAGGCTGAATCCACCCCTTCTCTCCCTTATGTCTCCAGGACTCTCTCTCTTCAGGCCTGTGAACCCCCTTCCCCATTTCCTCGAGCCAGATTTACCCTACGACTGGACTGACAAACTTCTTGCTCCCACTAAGATTTTCCGGCAAGCATCTGCAGAACTGGCCCTTTCCATTCAGAGAAGCAGAGGGTATAAGAGGCAGCAAAAGTGCTGGTCCTTCCACTCATGCACCCACCAGAACTATAAATGGTTTCTAGTCTCAAACTAGAAACGAGAGGGGAAGAACACCTTCTAAAGAGAGAAATACAGTGAGGATAGCTGAGGCCTCTGCGGAGTGACTGGCAACATATCCTTCAGCCAAATTGAGGTTTGAAAAATCCCTTCCCAAGGTCAGGGTTTCTTAGAGCATTTGCCTCTAGCTGATCCTTCTGTCTCCCAGAAAAACAAGGGTTACTTTCCTGTTTTGTTTTGTTTTTTTAAACAGCATTTTCAAGATACACTTTACATATTAGAACATTTACCTATTTCAAGTGCACTATTCAATTATTTTTAGTAACTTTACCAAGTGGTGCAACATCACTATAAATCAGTTTGGAGCATTTCTATCCCCCCCGACACAATCCCTTATGCCCTCATTCTGTTCCCATCTCCAGCCCCAGGCAACCACTAATCTAATTTGTCTCTATAAGTTTGCCTTTTCTAGACATTTCATGCAAATGGAATCATATAATATGTGGTCTCTTGTGTCTAACTTATTTCACTGAACATGATGTTATTAAAGTTCATCCACGATGTAACATATGTCAGTAGCTTATTCCTTTTTTATTTCTGAGTAGCATCCATTGTATGGATATACCACATTTTACGTATCCCTTCACTACTTGGTGGACAGTTAGGTTATTTCCAGCTTTTGGGTCTATGAATAATGCAGCTATGAACAATTGCACGTGAGTCTTTGTGTGAACATATATTTTCATTTCTCTTAGGTAAGAGTGGAATTTCCAAGTCGTTTTGTGTTTAACTTTTAACTGTAAACTGCCAAGCTGTTTTCCAAAGTGGCTTTACCATTTTACATTCCCACAACCAATTGTGCGTTCCTTTTTCCTCTCCACGTCATGGGACAAGCATCCTCTTATCTTTGATCAACTCCCAGATTTTTTATTCTAAGAATTAATTATGTCCTGGAGAATGTTTCGGCTATGCTCTCCTGGGTTGAATTATTGCTTTGTTCTCTGTAATGACCTTAAATAGACAGTTATGATAGTTACACTCAATATGCACATGTCATTATTTATTTAAAACACTTAGTTTGTTGGGCTGCCTCCAATAACCATTTAGTTTTTGACTGTCTCAGGGGATGGTCATGAAAAAGTACTTATGCAAACTCTGAGGCAAACAACAGTGTACTGCTCTGAAAATTTACCAGGAAACTGAACTCCTTGAAAGTAGACTTCAGAAGAGTGTAACCTCAGGTGTTATTTTCTATAAGAGGACATTGGCCCTAAATGTGTCCACATGCAACTCACCAAGGTGAAAAGCCAATGTGAAGGACATATGTATAGGAAACCTCAGAGCCCAGAGGAAACAAGTTTAGATTTGTATGAAGGTATATACCAACACATCTCACAAATTTAAGACATTTTTTATTATGCAACTATAGTCAAAGAAATTTTGGTCAGAAATCCTAACTTTCAAAAATCCTACTGGACTTTACCTATTAGCAGGAATATACATTTAAAAATTTGCTCAAAGACAGAAAATATTCAGAGATTCAGAAATGAAACTCAAGCCGCTCTCGCCTCTGAGATGGCCCACTCTCTGTCTGTGTAGTGTGTTTCTCTCTAAATAAACCCACTTCTTACCTATCGCTTTGTCTCTCACTGAATTCTTTCTGCAATGAGACATCAAGAACCTGAGCTTCATTAAGTCCTGAGACCAAGTGTGTGATCTCAATTAAAAGACCATGGGTTCAAGTCCCAATCTGAGTCAAATGGTTTCACCATGACTCCAGTATTATCCTGATATCAAAGACAAAGACATCTAAAGAAAAGAAAACTATGGACCAATATACGTACAGAGATCCTCAACAAAATACTAGAAAACTGAATCCAGCAACTTATAAAAAGGATTAATTACCAAGTGGGATTTATTCCGGTAATGCAAAGTGTATATAACATGTGAAATTCGATTAATATAATATACCATATCAATAGAATACAAGATAAAAACCACATGATCATCTCAGTAGATGCCAAAAAAGCACTTAACAAAATCCAAAACCCTCTTGTGATAAAAATACTCAACAAACTCAAGATAAAAAAGGAACTTCCTGACTAAGGGCATCTACGAAAAAGCCACACCTAACATCATAATTAATGGTGTATATCAGTTTCCATTGATGCTGTAAAAAATTTATCATGAACTTAGTGGCTTAACCAAAAAAAAAAGATGGGCTTCCCTGGTGGGGCAGTGGTTGAGAGTCCACCTGCCAATGCAGGGGACACGGGTTCGTGCCCCGGTCCGGGAAGATCCCACATGCCGCGGAGCGGCTGGGCCCGTGAGCCATGGCCGTTGGGCTTGCGCGTCCGGAGCCTGTGCTCCGCAACAGGAGAGGCCACAACAGTGAGAGGCTCACGTGTAGCAAAAAAAAAAAAAGAAAAAGAAAAGAAATGAAACTCAAGACAATTTGGGTCTAAAAGTTGCCATTGAGGCCTTGGTATTAGTGAATGTGTTTACTCCCCAGGGAAAGGGATTGGTGAGGTCACAACTGCTGTCCCTCAGGGTCATTTGCATAAGAACTTCAGGTGCCTGAAATAGCAAAAGTCTGCTGGACTCAGATTTCTAACACTGAAAATGGAGTATTTATAAAAGAAAATTACTGACTGCTAAGGAGTAACACAAGGGAGTTTCTTTGTGGTATCCTGATTGTGGTGTTCGTTTCTCAGTCTACATGTGTATTAAAATATCATGGAACTACACACACACGCACACACACACACACACACACGCGTGTGCACATAAAGAGTACATGTAAAAACTAGTGAAATTGGGCTTCCCTGGTGGTGCAGTGGTTAAGAATCCTCCTGACAATGCAGGGGACACCGGTTTGAGCCCTGGTCTGGGAAGATCCCACATGCCGCGGAGCAACTAAGCCCGTGTGCCACAGCTACTGAGCCTGCACTCTACAGCCCGCGAGCCACAACTACTGAGCCCATGTGTCACAACTACTGAAGCCCGCGCATCTAGAGCCTGTGCTCCTCAACAAAAGAAGCCACTGAAATGAGAAGCCCGTGCACCGCAACGAAGAGTAGCCCCTGCTCGCCGCAACTAGAGAAAGCCCGCGCGCAGCAAAGAAGACCCAATGCAGCCAAAAATAAAATAAATAAATTTATTAAAAAAACACAAAAACTAGTGAAATCTAAGGTCTATTCCTGAGTTTATATTATACCAATGTAATTCCCTGGTTTTGACCTGTGCTGTGGTTATGTAAGGTATTTTCATTGGGAAAAGTTGGGTGAAAGGTATGTGGGAACTCTATGTACTACTTTTGAAATTTCTTGTACTTACATCTTAAGCTATTTCAAAATTAAAAGTTATTTAAGAAAGAGAGAGAGAGAAAGAGACAGGAAGGAAGGAAGGAGAAAGGAAACAATGGATCCCTTTCTTCTGGAGTCATCATGGATTGGAGGTAGGGGAAAGGTGGGGGACAGTAAGGTACCTCCTGAATTTGAACAAAGATCCCTCCTGAAAGGAAATTATGAAAAATTAACACAACAAACCCACCCTAAACTGGAATTTATATATGGGGAGACTAGATACATAAATAGATAGATAGATAGACAGATAATAGACGTAGATATAGATATAGATATAGATATTCTATATATATAGAAAGACTAGGTATAGTGTAAGGAAATTCTCATGTCTGCATGCGGGTGTCTAACTGCTTGTACTGTACCTTTATTTATCAAGAATGATGATAGAAGTAGATTAGCCTTCACTGTGTCTGAAAGCAAAGAGAACAAACATCAAGAACTGTCCACAGCAGAGGGCCTGGATTGACTGTTCCAGCATCCTTGGCAGGGGTACTTCTCAATGGAAACTGATGCATTAGACTGTCATAGTTTGGCGACAAGAGCTATTAAGACTATTCTCTAATTCCCTTCGCTATGATTCCATTCTCAGTTTTAATTGTGCTTTGGCTTTTCATGTAGCTTTTGTATAGCAAGATAATGAGCTGATTGGCCAATACAAGGGTTTTAGTTCACTTGACATTATTTCTTCTTCATGAATTAATAATTTAGCATTCTAGTTCACATATCAATATCTTGTGGGTTTTATAAGTATGAGTGAGCAACTAGAGCATGAGTTCTTAACCTAGAAGCCAGGGATGGGCTTCAAGGGATCCATTAAGCCCTAAGATTGTATGCAAAAGCAAGTGTATACTTGCAGCGTGCATTTATCAAGGAGAGGGGTCAATAGCTTTCGCTAGACTCTCTTAGAGAGTTTCCAGTCTGGATGCACTGGCAAAATAGAATTTTCATGTTTATGAAACTTATCTTCACAGAACACACTGGGAATATACTCCCGTGCTATAATTCTTTTTGACATCATTTTAACAACTTCATGGGATTCAATTGCTTGAATTCATCTTCTAAGATTTTAAAAGCTTCTTCACTAATAAACTCTGAAGGGTTTAATTTTTAGGTGAAATGTTGCCTTATTTCATTAATAGATATCCAAATGTGAGAAAGAACGGCAATCACCACTATCAACAGCTAACATTGACGAGACTCCAGCTCTGTACCAGGTAATATGCTAACTTTGCATATGAAATCTTAACTGTGGCCTTTATACAACAGTCCTGGGAAGTGGGTATTATGATTTGTGTTTAATAGCTGAGGAAACTGAGGTATAGAAGTTAAAGAACTTACCAAGATCACATTGCTGTCAATGTGGAGCCAAGTGGACAGCCACATCTGTCTAGCCTTTCCCCCAACCGCAAGACTCAATATCTTTATCCTTCAAGCTCTACTTGGAGGCACTTTCTCCTTGAAGCTTTATTCCCACCCAAAATTCTCTCTCCCCTCGTGGAAGTCCTCTGGGTCTTCAGCTGACTCTAAACCACCCCACTTAGCACCATTATTAACGACCTCAGGGTCAGCAAACTTTTTCTGTGAAAGGACCAGATAGTAACTATTTTAGGTTTTGTGGCCCCATATGGTCTCTGTCAGAACAACTCAACTCTGCTGCCCACTGTAGTGCAAAAGCAGGCACGGAGAAGACACACATAAGCAAGAGTGGCTGTGTCCCAATAAACTCTGATGGATGGGTATTGAAATTTTAATTTCATATAATTTTCATATGTCACAAAATGTTATTCTTATTTTAATTTTTTTCCCACCATTTAAAATTGTGAAAACCATTCCTAGCTCATGCCCTGTACAAAAACAGGAGGCAGGTGGATTTGATCAATGGGCCAAAGTTTGCCATTGCTGCTCAGACAGCATCTTATGTGTTTCTACTTTCTACAACTAGATAGAAAACCACTGAGCCTATAATTATACCTTAACCTTTTCTTATTCTCTACAGTATCTATATGCAGGGCTAGACCCATAAGTAAGGGCTCAAAAGATACTTGATTAATAACATTGATGCTTCTCACCCTCAGAGCCATAACCAGGAAGAAATAACAAGTCCATCTCAAAATAGGCGGCATCTTTATTATCTTCACCCTTTTCCCTCCCTAACGAAATTCTGGCTCTCTAAAATATCACAGTGAGTTTTTGGTTCTGAGGGCTGATAAGAAATACCCACGTGCTTGGCTAGCTTGAAGGTCAGATGGCATCCGGGCCTCGAGCCAATGAATACAGCTGGTGAAAATTCAAGCTGTCACACACTTGTTGCTAGCCCTGGTTTTCTAGTTCCTTCATCGTGAATTATTAGATTATTTATAATAATGAATTGCTGCATGAGCAATCAGTTTTAAAACCATAATCCTTAACCCAGAAAGATGTCATGACTTCATGAGCTAAACTTAGGACCATGAGAACCACAGTCTAGGTCTGGCTGCCATGCATCTTCTCTGGGCCTTCCTTTCCTCATCTGTAAAGAGAGGGTAACAGCCCTGCCTCCTATGTGACGCTGGGCTGATTGGGGGACTACCCTGCAGATATAGAAGTAATGGTCTGTAAGCTTCTCCATTTGCTTTGGTTCAATCATACTAAGCCGTGCTGGTGTATGATCTCATACGACAGAGAAATGTGCTGTGCTGTTATGTGTAAGAATAAAACGGGTTTGTTTTTTTAATTTGCTTTAAGGTCATATCAACAAGCTACAAAATCAAGCTGATATTTACTACTAAGTACACGTTTAAAAATTATATAACATATGCCAATGAGCTTTTTTGGTTTTACCATTTCAGTGTGAAATCGCTGAAACCAGAAACTGCAATTACAGCAATCTTTTTGGTCCGATGTCATCCTGCTGAATAGCATGTGAAAGCAGGTTCATATTATTCTTTGCTAAAGATGGCCCGTGACACGGTTGTCAGGATAGAATCTTGCAGACACTGCTAGGCACCATGTAAAAGTCTAGGTGTTCGAGGAGCCAGCTGTTCTGCAGGGCTTGGTTGTTATTCTGATTTCTTTCTAAAAGGTTCATTTTTTTAAGACAGTTTTTCACTAGAGTTAGTTTTCACCCACTTTACAGATGCCTTAAAATAATCTGGTGTTGAAAACTCTTCCACAGCTGCCAGCTGGCCTATGAGGTGAGGAGGCTGCTCCCTCAAGGGTGAAACAGCACTTGGTGCAAACAAATGTTTAAAACCGGTGAAGACAGCAGACAGAGGAAAGCTTTAGCACTTACGTATTCACTGTAGCAAGGAGAGGTTTTTCCAGTCAGAAACCTCTCAGCATTCTGTAGGAGATTGATGATTTACTGCTCCTAAGAGGACAGCAGTCTCATAATGGTATACAGTAAGAGGTGGAACAGAAATCGACTCACAAAAGATGTTCTTTCAAACCTCAAACTGCAATTACCATGGAGGAGAGGAGGAGTTCAGCTTTGCAACTGGTGCCTCAATAATACATTGTAGGAAGCAGCTGCTTTCTGCTCCCCAGTGCTGCCTCATTCCATAGATAGGGCAGGTGACGCCTGAGTACACAGAATTTGTGACATTTGCTGGGTGCTTATGGTGCGTGGATGAAGAGTGCTTATAGGAATGTTAGCTGTTACTAATTATTATTATAATACTACTGTGGCAGGAAGGTCTAAGCAGCTGTTTTGACGTGAGAAGCTTCCAAGCATCAGTGGTTAACACAATTTTGGTTGGCTCTTACAATCAGCTGTGGTCATTATGGTACCTCCCCAGCATAACCCCAAGGAGTAGTTTGCATATTTCTATGTGGGTTGGTCACTGAATCATTAATCAAGAATTTAACCACTGGTGTGGTAGATCTTGTTGCTGTTCCCAACATGGTTCATCTCTCCCTCCACCTTCACCGATGGTCTCAGGATAGAAAAGAAAAGATTTTCCCTCAAATTTGCATTCACACTACCTGAAATTGAAAAGCCCAGGACATGTTTTCACTGAATAAAGAAAGCCTTTAGTTAGCCTAGGAGTAAAAATGGAAAGGAGAGGAAGAAACACATTTAGGGGAAGTGTCAGGTTAATTTATTTTAGCGATTCCCAAGCTCCCACTATATCCATTGGAGATATAAAGATACAAAGCCGTCCAGGAGACTCAGGCTGGGAGGGATGGACAGACAAACTGACAAGCTCCGTAAAGAGCCACATGTGCAGTGATACAGGTACTAAGAACAATAGAGGCACAAGAGAAAAGGAATTTTTGGTCTGGAGCAGAGCAAGTAGGTCAGAAAAGTCAAAGAAAGGGATATGAGCTAAATCTTGAAAAATGGACGCAGTGGATCCTCCAAGCTCATAAACTGCCCACCTTCCAGGGAAGAGAAGCAGTAGGAGCAAGAGTGTAGAGGTGAGAAACAGACCAGCCTGCACTGCGATCAAAAAGAAAATAGAGTTCTCAGAAATGCCTAAATCCTGTGGCTATATGCTAAACAGGACCACCAGTCTCCTGCCCCAATCCTGTCCAGGACCTCTTCATGCAGCACCTCAGTGGAGCCTTCTGGCTCCCTTGAATTGCTGTAGCAGCTGACTCTTAGCGCCATTTATCTTGCACTCCCACCCCATCATTTCAGTGTACCCCTCGCACCCCTTGGCGAGCAACTTGAGGGCAGGGACTCAGTAAGGGAATGTCGTGCTTTAAGCTTCATTATTATTCCATTTGAATTGACCCGCTCAGTTTGATTCACTGTGGTCTGTGTACATAGAGGCTCATAGTAGGCTTTTTTTCTGTTGTTATATTTTTTAGTTTGAAATTTAAAGTTTATAGAAAAGTTGTAAAAGTAGTACTTGAAGCTCCCCTATACCTTTCACTCAATTTACCGATTGTCACCATTTTATCACATCTGCCTTATTCTTCATACACACATACATTAAAGTTTTTTCCTGAAACATTTGAGAAAAAGCTTCAGACATGATGCCCCTTACTCCTTGATCCTTCAACATGTATTTTGTATTTCCTATAAACAAGAACATTTTCCTACACAGTATAACCATCAAGATCAGAAAATTAACACTGATCCAACATCCATATAATTCACAGATCCCATTCAAATTTCACCTGTTGTGACATAGAAAACAAACTTATGGCTGCTAAAGGGGAAAGTGGGGGAAGGGTAAGTTAGGAGTTTGGGATTAACGTATACATACTACTATATATAAAATAGGTAACCAACAAGAACCTACTGTATAGCACGGGGAACTACTAGACTCAATATTTTGTAATACATGTAACCTATAAGGGAAAAGAATCTGAAAAAGACTATACATATATATATTATATATAAAAAACTGAACCACTTTGCTGTATACCTAAACTAACACAACCCTGTAAATCAACTATACTTCAATAAAAACAAAAACAAATTTTACTTGTTGACCCAGTAATAGGTCCAGGTCCTTTATAGTTATCATTTCTCTTTAGTCTCCTTTATTTTGGAAAAATTCCTCATTTTTTTCTTCTTTTTCATGACCTTGACATTTCTTGAAGCACGTAGTTACTTTACAGAATGTCCTGCAATTTGGGTTTGTCTGATGTTTCCTCGTGATTTATGCATTTGCAATAAGAATCCCTCAGAAGTAATTCCTTGCTCTTCTCGTTGCGCCATATCAGGAGACACATGATGTCAATTTGTCCTGTTACTAATTTTCTTGTTGCATTTGGTGAAGATGGTGTCTTACAGGATTCTCTGCTGAGTCATTCCCAACTGTTTTGTGAAGAAATGCCTTTAGATTTCTATGGTAAGATAGGGCTTTCTTTCTCCTCCATTTTTTCGTTTAATTTTTATCATTGTAGACTCATGGATTCCTATTTTATTCAAATGGATAAAGTCAGTAACTGTCATTACTATGATACTCAAATCACCCCAGACTTGGTCAGTGGGAGCTCACTGAAAGCAGCTCTTTTGTCTTTTTGATATGTCCCCATCATTCTCTAAGCATTGCCTTAGTTTGTGGTACAAGATGGTCCTGTCTCACCTTTTATTTCTCCTACCCCAGCCCTAGAGTCAACCATTTCTCTAAGGAACCCTGGTTCCATTAAATGGAGAATAACATTCAGAAGCCCAGTTCTGCAAGAGAGGTTTGCTTATTGCTACCGGGATATCTTTGCTTCTAGCCCTCTCAGCAGACAGAACTAGGAAATATAAGCATATATCTATCTACATATG